ATATACTCTTGGTCAGGGAAAGTCTTGTCATCTTTATATACTCTTGGTCAAAGGTAGTCTTTTTATTTTTGATGCTTCATGTCAGAGAAAGTCTTGTCACCTGATCATATTGTTTCCAACACTTCATACTTCTCACTGAATTGAAAAAAATTAATGTCATTTTATATCACCCGATTCACCGACTTGGATTTCACAACTACTCAGGGGTGTATGATTATGATCAACATCAACTGGATCAGCAGGTTGAAAAAGCCTGTCAATTTTTGTCAAAATGTCTGAGGAACTAAATCAAAGCTTGGTCCACGTTCTTTCAATTTTCTTCAAGGCAAAGAGTAGATTTTTTTGTTTCTCATTGTTCATTGGTAATTGGTTCATCTTTGCAAGAATTTAACGTCGACTGCCAAATTTTGAAGTCAATCTGGGAAAAATAAAGTTACAATTGGCTACCTATGGTGAGGGTTCTGTAACCTATTAGAAAAGGTCAGTTACCTGGGAGAGTGAAAAAAATCGTGCGGAGTTGGCATAACACACAGCTATTTATGTGGTACAGTGGCACTAGAGAAAAGAGTCAGATCTACTTGGTCATAATATTTTTCTGACATTGCCTTTTTCGCATGCCATTAAAAATTAAAAAGTTAAATTGAAATTATTTACAAAAATGATCATGAAATGAGAATTTTTTCTCTTTGGAACTTTTTGTTTGTGTAGATGCTGTTAAATATTTTTGTCTTTATGTTACAGTTGAAACTGTGGTATATTTTGACTTTGTGTGTAGATCCTGTAATCTTTTTGTCTGTTGTGTGTAGATCCTGTAATCTTTTTGTCTTTGTATAAAGATGCTGTAATTTTTTTTGCCTTTTTGTGTAGATGCTGTGATCTTTGTCTTTATTTGAAGCTGCTGTGATTTTTCTGTTTGTGTGTAGATCCTGTGATTTTTCTGTTTGTGTGTAGATCCTGGGATTTTTCTGTTTGTCTGCAGATTCTGGGATTTTTCTGTTTGTGTGTAGATCCTGGGATTTTTCTGTTTGTGTGTAGATCCTGGGATTTTTCTGTTTGTGTGTAGATGCTGTGACCTTTTCGTACTTGTGTATTTGTACTGTGATATATTTTTCTGTTTGTGTGTAGATCCTAGGATTTTTCTGTTTATGTGTAGACCTGTAATCTGTTTGTCTTTGTATGAAGATGCTGTGACCTTTGTCTTTGTATGACACTGTTGTGATTTTTCTGTTTGTCTGTAGATGCTGTGACCTTTTTGTACTTGTGTATTTGTACTGTGGTCTATTGTTCTGTGTTGATTCTGTGTATGAGTTGTTTGTAAATATATTTTTCATTTTCTCTCTCCTTTTTTTCAAGAATCAAATACCACAACATTTCATTTTCAATAGAAAAAACCTAATCTAATAAATGAATATATCTTCCTGATGAGGGAGAAAATTGAATTTAACTTAAAAAATCAGTGATGTAGCCACAGATCTCTGTACATAAGGCTGAGTGTAATCAAAATAGGGATATTAAAATTTTGAATTAATTAAGATGTTGAGTCAGTTGCGACCAGATGGGGCTAAGTTCAGATCTGGTCGGAAAACATGTTGAGATGTCTGTGGGGTTGCCAGCAGTGTGGCCATGGGGTCCCACTGAGCCCAGATCTTCTAAGATGAAGTCCCATGAGGTGTTGTAACCTGTACACCCCATTAACTTTAATAAACCATTTCACTTAAAAACATTGGTCAGTCCATTCCAAAAAAATAGGGTGAACATTTTCCCCCCTCAAATTTATGTTATTGCTTTGTTTAAAAATAAAGCAGTTTTGCACCAACTTTTATTGAAAACCTTTTTGATAACCAAATTTTAAATAAGAATAGGAAGTAGATATTGGGCTATTTTGATGCACATGGATTTGATAATTAAATGAGTATAGTAGGAACTAGTGTGAGGTGTAGGTACCTACTTTGTACCTGGGTGACTTTCTACTGATAATACAAGTTGTTATTCATACTGATGTAATCAGACTCACAATATTTTCAAAAACTCTATGACTCTATGGCAGGCAAATGATTTCAATTTTTCTTTTGTTTATAAAGATGTAGGCGTAAATAAAAACGGTTTCCAAGGATAACAAATTAGGCTGGATTTAAGTAAGCCTAAAATTACAGACGGGAGGAGGGTAGATCTGTTACAATAATTGGTGGAGTTACCACAGGAGTTAAACAGCTGTTCCAGACCAGTAACACAAGGTGGGGGCCTGTGAATTAAAAAAATAAAACCGTGGTGAACATTTAACATCAAGGATGGATTTCTAGCAAATATGTGGCTGTTGGGCATTTAACTTTTTTAGAAATATTTTCAAGAGTGTTTTCAGTAAAAAAACAAAAAAAAATTTTTCTGATCAATTTTTGGAAAATTTTATTATGTGATCAAAAATGGATTTTTGAAGAAAAAAAAATGTGTCCACAGAATTCTTATCTTCAATACTTCATCAGTATCTTGTCACCTGTGTTCGTAGTGGAAAGAAACCTTAATGAAAACCATTTTCTGCCTTGACCAATGTCCATAATCAGCATTTAGAGGATATTAAAAGGTGATGTTCAGAAATGACTTCAACACTTGTCCTCAGCTTGCCCCCATCCCCACCTACACCTATCCCCACCTACACCAAGTGTTGGTGGCCCCCTAATACCCCCTAATACTCCCTTGTACCTTACACTGTATTCATTTCAGATTTTGATGCACCATTAAATTAACATCAAACAGACACAGGCTTAAACTTAAAAAAAATAAATAGCACAAGAGGTTAAGACAGCAGCTGCAAACATCCAAAGTGGCACTTCAAATTTGTGGACAAGGGGAGGTAATACAAAAGTCTTTCCTTACAACGAGATCAAGTCATACTTGGAGACTAACAGCTGAGTTTTGAATTTATTTCATGCATATTATTTTTCTTAGTATTTCAATTTGTTTATTAAAGAGCACCTAAAGTAGGTTATTTCAAGTATTAATTTGTCTTTAGAAGGTCTGAAATTTTTTTTTTTTTTTGGCTGCATAGAATTTTAAATGGTACATATGTATGTAATGGAAATTCTAGAAGCGTGATGAAAAGTATACATTTTAAGGGGTATTAACAACCTGCAGGGATGTGTCTCTGGAGGTCAGATGATTGCAGAATGTTTGACAGAGTTATCCCTCTTAGTAGTTTTATCATTTGGTGCTAATTGGTCATATACTGTAAATATATATAGATTATCAATTTTCACTTGGAAGGTGCTACATCATAGTGGAGCAAAGTTTCTGAACACTTTTTTTTTGTGAATGTGAAAATTTGTCCTGACTGTTTGCTAAAATGTTACTATACTTTGTGACAAACCCTTTGACTATACTTTGTGACAAACCCTGTGACTCTACTTTGTGACAAACCCTGCGACTCTGCTTTGTGATAAACCCTGTGATTCAAGACTTACGGATTTACCCTGAAACTAGACAAACACAAGGTTTACCTTGGTGCTCAGCACTTTTGTATTTTACTCATGACAGGTGATCGAAAATATTTGAATGTTTACTTTTAGAGAAAAATGTATGCCTTCTGTTGAGATAAGACGCTGTGTTGGATTCTTTTCTCTTGGACTGGAATAGTTTACATCCATTTTTCTGTTCAAATCAACCATAATGATAACAAATGCTTATGTGTTATCAAAATTGTGTGCATTTTGGATGTTTTAAATCTAGTTGCCATGGTAACTAATTCTACCATCTATCAGTGGAACTCTCTAGAACATAAGGTTTTAAAATACCAAAGATAATAAGTGGATTGCTAAGTGATGAATGGTTTCCAAATGTTGACCATTGAAATTTCCACTGATAGGTGGTCAGTTTGAATGACCTGGTCAGTTTTATCTGTTCTGTGAAGTGAATGGGTGAGATTCTGGTCATTTATAACTTTTAAATACTGTCCGTTGATGGAGGTCTGCCATTAAAAGTATAAAGGGGGGATAAAGCTGTCAGAATGTATCAACTTTCGTTATAAAAGAAAGAAATGTTTTCTGTTGTGATAAGAGCTCTAGAATTTAAAGGAATAAAAACAAAGTAGTGATTTTTATTGATCTAAGCATTGATTTCAGATTCTAAATAAATTTTTCATCAAATCTTTTGAATGAATTTATCAATAGATTTCCACCTCTCATATATGTATTATAAACATTTATGACACTAATTTTGTATAAATAAATTATTTATTTATTCCACCATCATCAGATGTGAGCATTTCATTTACTCATTCATCCTTCTTTCAGTCCATCCTTCGAAATTCATGTTGTTATTTCTAGAGAAGTACAAGAAGGATCATTTCCAAACTTAAGAAGTAGGTTCCCAGTATTACTTCAATATACCAATTTTGGGGATGATAGGAAAATTCAAAATGGCTGACATGAGGACATCTTGCTTGTGGATAATGGATATTTCTCAAATTTCATATGTACCATAGTTCCCCTTGGTCCGTAGTTATGCCCTTTTGATTTTGTAACTGATGTTTAAAAAAAGTGGCTGACAGGGGCCATCTTGGATTTTGACTTGAGAAATTTGAAATTACCTATTTTTATAAGGTTCCCATTTGTCTTTTGATGTGACCTTTTGAATTTGGGACTGATCAGAGAAACAAAATGGCAGACAACCATGTTGGATTTCACAGTTAAAGATCAATGTCAATATTTCTTCAGTGAAATTTCCTAATTTCACTCACAGGAAAGAAGAGAAAAGAAGGAAAAATATCCAACTTTTAAAGAACAAAGAAAGATAGAAAAATTGTGGAAGTTAAGATCCCTTGATTTTTGTATCATTAATATTTTATTGTGAAGAACAAAAGTTGTCTTACCTTTTAATTGATACGGATGTTTAGCTACCAGGAGTTAAAAACAAGATATGATAGTCATGTTTCTCTTGGTCTGGTTCATGGAATTATTCTCTGTAATTTATGTGTAGAAGTATTGTAATATCCTGTTACAATGTTTTAGGGAGGGGATGCTGCTAGTTTCTCTGCTGGAGCTCCGCCTGCACCCTCAGGAGGGCCACCAGCTCCACCTCCACCCGGCCCCCCACCACCACCCCCTCCACCAGCAGTTGAACCCTCATCTGGATCAGCACCAGAAAGTTCTGGAGAAGATGGAAGGTCACAGCTTTTTGCATCCATTAACCAGGGCACAGATATCACCAAAGGTAGGTTGTGTGATAGATCATAACTGTTATGGTACAAAATGTCATGTAATAGTACACAATGTCATGTAATAGTACACAATATCATGTAATGGTACACAATGTCATGTGATGGTACCCCAGTCATGTGATGATACCCTAGGTCATGTGATGGTACACAATGTCAAGTGTTGTCTCCAGTCGTGTGATGATACCCTAGGTCATGTGATGGTACACAATGTCATGTGATGATACACAACATCATCTGATGATACCGTAGGTCATGTGATGGTACACAATGTCAAGTATTGTCTCCAGTCGTGTGATGATACTGTAGGTCATGTGATAGTACACAATGTCATGTTATGATACACAACATCATGTGATGATAACGTAGGTCATGTGATGTTCACAATGTCATGTGATGGTACACAATGTCAAGTGTTGTCTCCAGTCGTGTAATGATACCCTAGGTCATGTGATCGTACACAATGTCATGTGATGATACACAACATCATGTGATGGTGTACATGGTCATGTGACGGTGTACATGGTCATGTAGTGATATGATGATACCCTAGGTCATGTGGTGATATGTTCCAATCATACATGTGTTTGACTTTCGTTTCAGGCCTAAAGAAGGTGACTGACTCTATGAAAACCCATAAGAACCCTGCTCTGAGACAGGGTCCTGCCCCCTTTAAGGCCACACAAGTGAAGTCAGCACCAAAGCCTGCTCCAAAACCAGTAGCCAAGCCTGTGTCTAAACCTCCAGTCACAGAGTTACAGAATAGCAAGAAATGGATTGTGGTAAGCATGTCTTATGATTATCTGCCGTTGCTTATAATGATAGTTTATCTACGATAGGTGTTATAAAATAGTTTTTCAGCTCTAGTTTATCTACAGTAGGTATAGTGAAATAATTTATCAGCTCTAGTTTACCTAAGATAGGTATAATGAAATAATTTATCAGCTCTAGTTTATCTACATTGGTATAATGAAATAATTTATCAGCTCTAGTTTATCTACAGTAGATATAATGAAATAATTTATCAGCTCTAGTTTATCTACGTTAGCTATAATGAAATAATTTATCAGCTCTAGTTTATCTACAATAGGTATAATGAAATAATTTATCAGCTCTAGTTTATCTACAATAGGTATAATGAAATAATTTATCAGCTCTAGTTTATCTACAGTAGGTATAAAGAAATAATTTATCAGCTCTAGTTTATCTACGATAGGTGTAATGAAATAATTTATCAGCTCTAGTTTATCTACAGTAGATATAATGAAATAATTTATCAGCTCTAGTTTATCTACGTTAGCTATAATGAAATAATTTATCAGCTCTAGTTTATCTACAATAGGTATAATGAAATAATTTATCAGCTCTAGTTTATCTACAGTAGGTATAAAGAAATAATTTATCAGCTCTAGTTTATCTACGATAGGTGTAATGAAATAATTTATCAGCTCTAGTTTATCTACGTTAGCTATAATGAAATAATTTATCAGCTCTAGTTTATCTACATTGGTATAATGAAATAATTTATCAGCTCTAGTTTATCTACAGTAGATATAATGAAATAATTTATCAGCTCTAGTTTATCTACGTTAGGTATAGTGAAATAATTTATCAGTTCTAGTTTATCTACAATAGGTATAATGAAATAATTTATCAGCTCTAGTTTATCTACGTTAGGTATAATGAAATAATTTATCAGCAGTGGGGTTTATTTGCTATAGGTATAAGTTAATTACCTGTGATTATAATTTTACTTTTTGTTTCTGTATTTGTAGGAGAACCATGTGGATAACCGAAACATTGAGATTACAGACACTGCCCTTAACCATACTGTGTACATCTTCAAATGTCAAAACTCAACCATTCAGATCAAGGGCAAGATCAACTCCATAGTTGTAGGTAAGATCAAAGTCCTTGAGGTGAAAAATCAGAAAACTGAAATCATGACCTCAATTGAAGGTAAGGCCAAAGGTCAGCTGTCCCAGTTACCATCCAGTGTTGAAGGTAAGGTCAACTGTTCAGATAAACTCCAATGTTGAAGATAAGGTCAAAGGTCAACAGTCCAGTTAAAGTTGAAAGTAAAGGTCACAGTTCAACTGTCCAGATCAACTCAAATGTTGAAAAGAAGGTCAAAGGTCGACTGCCCAAATAAACTTTAGTACATGTATTGAAGGTAAGCACAACGGTCAGGTCAACTGCTACAGCAACATCTGGATAAGATTTTTCTGTACATCTGCACAACATATGACTCTGAATAATCAAGGGGTCAAAGGTCATTTTATGTTGGTAGCTTATGGCTATCAAGTCTGTTAAAATTTAATAACTTTCATGGTGATAGTGGTCAGATGTTTTAAATTCTTTCAAGTCCAATAAGTAAGTAATACAAGACCAATAAGTAATACAAGACCAATAAGTAATACAAGTCCAATAAGTAATACAAGGCCAATAAGTAATACAAGTCCAATAAGTAATACAAGTCCAATAAGTAATACAAGGCCAATAAGTAATACAAGTACAATACGTAATACAAGTCCAATAAGTAATACAAGACCAATAAGTAATACAAGTCCAATACGTAATACAAGACCAATAAGTAATACAAGACCAATAAGTAATACAAGTCCAATAAGTAATACAAGTCCAATAAGTAATACAAGGCCAATAAGTAATACAAGTCCAATAAGTATGTAATACAAGTCCAATAAGTAATACAAGGCCAATAAGTAATACAAGTCCAATAAGTAATACAAGACCAATAAGTAATACAAGTCCAATAAGTAATACAAGTCAAATAAATAATACAAGACCAATAAGTAATACAAGACCAATAAGTAATACAAGGCCAATAAGTAATACAAGGCCAATAAGTAATACAAGTCCAATAAGTAATACAAGGCCAATAAGTAATACAAGTCCAATAAGTAATACAAGTCCAATAAGTAATACAAGGCCAATAAGTAATACAAGGCCAATAAGTAATACAAGTCCAATAAGCCTATTGTATTTTTTTTTATTTTTGTTGTTTTACAGACAGCTGTAAGAAAGTTGGTGTGGTTTTCGATGATTTGGTGTCATCTCTGGAGTTCATCAACTGTCAGAGCGTGAAAGGACAGGTAAGATTTGTCTACACTACCTCACTTTTGTAAGTACAGTCGCACAACTCTGATTGGTTATCTGTCTAAAGAAGGTAAAACAATACACATCGTACTTGACACCAATCATACAGATAGTTCACTTAACACAATCTATAATTAACAGCTTGATTAAAATGTTGAGAAAATGAGTTTAGTGTATTATAACTGTATAAGGATAATTATTGACCCATCAAAATGGCGCAACATGTTACATCAACTTTCTCCTTTAATCAATTTCTCATTCAGATATTGGGTCATTAGCATGTTTGGTGGGATGGCTTTGTGTGGAGGATGACTCCAATACTGCCCTGAAACTATAAACTAGCATTCTGGTAGTGTAGTTTGCTGTGAATGAGTTATCATTGATACGCCCGTCGTATGACAGGATGTATTATGGTATGGCATTGTCTGTCCATCTGTCTGTCGTAAACTTTCCTTGTCCAGGCCATAACTTTGTGAGTCCTTGGTCTATTGTCACCATACTTTGTACACATATATATCTCAAGGTGACGGAGTGTCACGTATAAAAATTGCCTGCCTCGCATGCATAGTTTCTGAGTTCTTCCCCTTTAGTTGATTTTTCGTAAACATCCCTTGTCCAAGCCATAACTTTGTGACTCCTTGCTCTCTGGTCACCATAATTTGTACACATGTATGTCTATGTATGTTTCACGTCTCACATGCATAATTTCTGAGTTATTCCCCCTTGGTTGATTTTTCGTTAACTTCCCTTGTCCATGCTCTCTGGTTAGTATATAGTGTATGTAAATCATATGTTCACATACTATATTAGCAAATAGTGGTATGACATGGCTAAAACTTCCCCAAATGATATTCAGATCATTCCAAGACAACCTAGTTATTCAGTCAAATACTGCTTCTCCATCGAAGACTGGCGACAGGCGTATATTGTGCCTTAATTAGGCCCTTGTTTATAATTATTGTGGGGGTTGATGGTGGGGGGCGGCGGGGGGGGAGGCAACTTGGATCAGACAAAACTACAAACTATGGTGTTTCCAGAGTAAAAAGTCAGAAACATTCAAGATAACCACTAGAAATGTTGTCCTATCATTTTGTTGGTGCCTCAGTTTTTAGCTCATCTGGCTGGTATATATATATATATATATATATATATATACACCTGGTGAGCGCTGCAGGCCCATTGGGCCTCGTGTTCTTGTTACCATGAAATCAGATAAGAATCGGATGAAAATTACAAACTTCATGGTTTCAATGGCATGGCAACAGAATTGTTTAAGAACTACCTGAAACATTGTACACTTTGTAGCACTCTCTTAGTGAAGTTTGCTACTAGAGAAGTCTTCATTTTGGATATTTTTCTGTTTTTTGCCAAGTCATACCATCAATCAATGAAGGGTATTGAGAAAAAAATCATTTTAAATGTGAATGATGCCTACCCATCCTCAAAAACATCAACAGTAAAAGATGATCTTCATCAAAACTTCAGAAATGGTGGAATGGAGGGAATAGCTGTTATTGTAATATATAAACATATATATATGATGGTGTGTCTTTCTTTTAAACAGCGGGGGTGGGGGGGGGGATAATGTCTTGTTGTTTTTTAGCATGTGATTTATGTGTTAAGTGGTAATCTTAGTTTGTTTCTGTTTTGTCAGGTGATGGGGACATTGCCAACAGTGTCTATAGATAAAACAGACGGTGCCCAGATATACCTCAGTAACGACTCACTCAGCTGTGAAATAGTCACCGCCAAGTCTTCAGAAATGAACATTGTCATACCGAAGGACGGGGACTTTGTAAGTCTAATATTTTCTTTAAGGTGTTGGAGGTCATATAATTCATATATCATGGAAAATTTCATGTGTTTATCAATAAACGATCAAATTGACTGCTATTATTGATCAATAAAAAAATTGATATGATTTTTTATATGGAACAACAAATCTTACAGTAAATAAAAGATGTAATTACATATCATATTCATCAATAAACACCCATTCATTTATTAATCATCATATTTCAGGTCGAGTTCGCTCTTCCAGAACAATTCAAGACAAGTTTTGATGGCAAGAAAATGGTGACCAACATCTCAGATATCTAAACATCCCGGATGAACATTGCCACCTGGTGGACACATATTGAACTATGCTAGATAACTCTCAAATCATTCCAGATTTTTTAGATTTGGAATCTGGGCCGTTCTGTAGTCCAATGATCCACAAGGAAAGACATGTCAACAGGTTATTCAACTGTGACCTATTTTTGTGCTATTTTTTTTTGATAAAATGATGATGACATTATGGCCATATTCAAAACTATTTTTTATCACCAGTGATAAAAATTAGATATGTATGAGAATATTTGGTGGAAAATAATTTCATGTTGCTGACATCAAGAAACCTCCTACAATATCTAATTTTATTAATTTCATTGTAAAGATGACAGGATTTTTCAAAGAAATTAGATACATATAAGTCTACCAATTTTTTAGATATATTATGAAGACCTTGCCAAAAGTGCTAAATAGATAGGGTTTTGAATGTACATCAGTTTACTAATTTGTACTAGTGCAATTATATTTCTAAACATTTTTGTGTGATGATCATTCTTGAGTGAATTTTTCGTATTCTCATTTATGAACCTAGACTTGTAAAATCAATTCCTATGATAAATGCGTGATTTAATTACTAGCCTTATACTAAGAGAAACGGGAGGATATACTTAAAGGTGTGAAAGTCCGAGTGTTGTGTCCAACAAATACAACCTGAAACCACAACTTGACCAGAATCCTCAGGCTTAATACCATATCAGAATTTAGTTGTTACCTCCCTTAGATCATTGGCTTTTCATCAATTAGACCGGTACACACTAAGTATGTAAAATCCTTTCCCGAAGAGATAGGTAAAATGTATAACACATTTTTCTACAGCTACCAAGAAATACTGATGCTTAGCAAGTTTTTTTTTTAGTTTTTTATTTTGCATTATTTAATTATATAATCATCTCCAGGCTTGGTTCAGATGGACAGAACAATGATAGAAAGTCTATGCAAGATCTTGTGATAACTCTTACTGCTCACTGTACAGGTTAGTTAGTATTATTTAGTAAAAATGTCGGGTTTACAAACTGGGCAGATAAAGATTTGATTAATAGAAGAAGGATTATTGAAACAACCATGCCAGTTTCTTCAGCCCAAGAGATTTAAATAATTTTGTTTATTTAAACTTATATTCATAACAGTTATATAATTTTATGAGCAACATGTTAAATTGGATTACCGATACCCTTGCACCCCTTTTAAGATCACTTTGTGATCACCCATATAGGAAAATCTATTGTGGAGGAAAGGGGTGTAAGGTATTCCTACCTGTACTTATATACATGTATATTGTCTCTTGTAATATTAATATTCTTTCAAAGGAAAAACACTTTGTACTCTATAGTTATCAAGTACGAGTTATAGATAGAAAAAGCAATTTTAAATGGATGACTGTATTTGCCTTGAATAGTATGATTTGATGCTAGGGTGAGCGATGACAATTTCAGCAACACTGTTTGAAGTCTTCATTTTTTGTGTATTTAGTAATAAATTAATTTTTGTTTGGATGCAAAAAGAATTAATTCCATTTTGCTTTACTTTTTTTAAATCATTTTGTTTCTGAAGAACTTTAAATTCCAATATCAGTATAGAATTGATAATCAATTTTATAGAAACTTTTATATATATATCACATAGTGCTAATAATTTCCTATATCTAATTCAACCTTAACTTATTTAGCTTAATGTATTCAGTTCAACCTTTTCTGATTTCTCTATTGCTTACATATAATAAAAACTTAGTTTATCAGCATCCTGCAACCCCTATCTGGCTTCAATGGATGAATCCGACAAGTCCAATTTTGTTTCGCAGACGAGTTTAGTCAGGTCCAATAACCACCAATGTACCTGTTACTTCAGATAAAACAATAGTTGAAAACAGCCCCTTTAGATATTAGCAGTAAAAGGAATTGGATGTCTTGTAGCTGACATACCTGGTAGTAAAATTACTAATTCAGCTGGACCAATGAGACAGTAAAACTTGTTAGCTGATGTAACTTGGGCCAGTGAGGGTTCAAAGGACTTTGTACAGCTAGTATTTCTAAATATCTGATTGTATATGAACAAATCACATTACAAATAAATATCTTTAACCATAGAAGGTTTGTGTTGTGTTTATAGTCTAAAGATTTATAGTTACATCATAAATATGTGAACTTTATTTATTTAACAATGATTGCAAAGAAGTTATTTCAACGTATATTAATCACTCTGGATGAAATGTATGCAAGGTCTTACTGTTGGAGGAAACTGGTACACAGGGAAGAAAATCCCTGCGGTCACACAGGTGACTTCATACCAATTGTTTGGAGAATCAAACAATGGTCATCAAGGTAAAAAGCAAGTGTGTTACCACTGCATACCAGAAAATTTAGATTTTTAAAAAACAAAAAACTTAATAGTACAACAAGTTTCTACCTGTTACTGAGTAGGTTCCGACTATTCTTACATCAGATGTTAGCCGTGTTGACATCTTACAGCTAAATGGTTGTACAGTATATATATTCTCACACGACACCAGATGTCTGTATACCACGACACCAGATGTCTGTATACCACGACACCAGATGTCTGTATACCACGACACCAGATGTCTATACCACGACACCAGATGTCTGTATACAATTGTACAGTATCTACTTTCTCACACGACACCAGATGTCTGTATACCACGACACCAGATGTCTGTATACCACGACACCAGATGTCTATACCACGACACCAGATGTCTGTATACAATTGTACAGTGTATACTTTGTCACACGACACCAGATGTCTGTATACCACGACACCAGATGTCTGTATACCACGACACCAGATGTCTGTATACAATTGTACAGTATCTACTTTCTCACACGACACCAGATGTCTGTATACCACGACACCAGATGTCTGTATACCACGACACCAGATATCTGTATACCACGACACCAGATGTCTGTATACGACAACACCAGATGTCTGTATACCACGACACCAGATGTCTGTATACAATTGTACAGTATATACTTTCTCACACAAAACCAGATGTCTGTATACCACGACACCAGATGTCTGTATACCACGACACCAGATATCTGTATACCACGACACCAGATGTCTGTATACGACAACACCAGATGTCTGTATACCATGACACCAGATGTCTGTATACCACGACACCAGATGTCTGTATACAATTGTACAGTATATACTTTCTCACACGACACCAGATATCTGTATATGACACCAGATGTCTGTATACCACAACACCAGATGTCTGTATACCAAGACACCAGATATCTGTATATGACACCAGATGTCTGTATACCACGACACCAGATATCTGTATACCACCACACCAGATGTCTGTAAACACTACATGTGAATGTTGACACAAGTGAAACAAAAATTCACATCGTTTTATCAACTTATTTCTAAAGTACATACACAATGAGGATATTCTAAACAGCGAAGTGTTTGCAAAAAAAAATTTGCAAAACAATTTAAGATGCATTAGTGTGACCTTTACGATGTCACAGAAGATCACTAACCCTGGAGTTGGTGACAATACACAGGTGAAAATGTCTCTGTCTATTGACAATGTATTCAGTAACAAACATACTTTCATCAATCTCACAACAAAGGAAAAATCATGTAGGATTCTGAATGAAGAGCTGTTTGATAAAAAGTACTAAAAACAGAAATGTTCACTTTTAACTTCTCACATAACACAGATGATATGATGATATAATTGCTGGAACTCTCAACCAATCAAAGCAAAAACAGACAGCCAATGATAGTGAAATCAGACTCCAATAACTGCAAAACTGGAAGGCTGATAGTAGTGAATTCTGACAGCTGATCACGCTGAAAATTGACAACCTGTCACATTTTTGTGAGGTTTTAATGTGTAATGGTGTTTTTAAACTAACAGGGACATAACAGATGCATGTTATGTGCAGAATTTCAGTAACACCTTGTTGAGCTCTTAATTAATGTAGGGTCATTTTATCACAATTGTTAGATACTTTGTAAAATGTATATTGCATTGTGGCGTTGAATTCAAAGTATCATAATTTCAGATTTCTTTTCTGACTAGGCAAATCTAAACAAATCTTGGGTGGTTTGACAGAAAGATAGATTTCGCACCAAACCAGTTTCCACAATCTGGATAAAAACGGAAACTTCTGAAATCTCCTTTACACATTGTTCCTGTGTCAATCATTTCCTTTTAGAAAATATGAAATAAAAATATAATATATCGGGGATTTTTATTTTGATGTAATGGCCCAGTCATCACACATCTCCAAGAAAGTGCCCAAGCCAAGCGGTTTACTACAAGAGTAATCTCCCTTCATCTAGTCCAGCAGTATTGGCCAACTCCATGTTATATATACTACTCACAATTTGATAGGGATCACACCGAATAATTAACAAAATTTTCTTTTAAGATAAAATGATACATATTCCTTATATTTGTTGGTTTATATCTGTACCGAGGTCTATGTGTATCGGGTGTTTATGTGGTCAGTCACCCGTAACTCCTTCACTTCACGTGTACACGCGCGAGCCTCCTACGTGCAGATTGTCATCAATGCGTTTGTGGCAGAATATCTCGCTTTTTGCTTTACATTTTGAATTTTAACGGTTTCAAAATGCCCCGATAGCAGGCTAGAAGACGTCTAAGCACTTCAGATATGGACAGGGGCATTGGTATGATCCAGTCTGGTAGGTCACAAAGGGAGGTGGCAAATGACCTTGGTGTGTCCCAGAGTGTTGTGTCCCGTATGTGGAATCGTTACCAAAATTATGGAACTCTCTCCAGAAGACATGGTGGGGGTCGGGAACGACTTACCTCGCAGCGTCAAGACCGCTATCTTGTTATTGCAGCTCGACGTCAAAGGTTCATCAACGTTACGTCACTACGTAATTACTTCCAGAATGCCACCGGAACTCGTATCTCCACACAAACTGTGAGAAATAGACTTCATGATGCTGGTTTAAGGTCGCGCAGACCTTGTGTGAGAATTCCTTTGACGTTACGACATGTTCAAGCTAGACTTGCTTGGGTTCGTGATCATGTTAATTGGAACCTCCATGACTGGTCCCCCGCACTTTTTACAGACGAGTCTAGATTTTGCTTAGATTTCACTGACCGACGTGCCAGGGTGTGGCGCTAACGTTTTCCAAATGAGAGGTTATATGAAAAGAACATAATACTTTTTTGCCGCAGTATGAAAAGATAATATTTTAACGTTTTCTAAAACAATTTAATGTAAATCGTCTTTAGGTCCAGTGCGGCACAATACGTTATATGAAAAGAACATAATACATTTTTTTGGCCGTTTTTGATCAATATGGAATTATGATATTTGAACTAAGGTCAAATTACACTAAAAACAATTTAATGTCCAAATTCTAAATATAAACCGTCCGATTCTGCCCGATCCTGCAAATCGTCTTTCGCGACCAAAACAGATATGAGTGTTTTATGTAAATACGTCTTCAGTTTCCTTTTTTATGTAATATGTCTCCATTTTTTCTTAAAAACTGAACAAAGTGTTCAACATATGTTGGTATTAATGCAAAAGTAATTCATTAAAATGAATAGAACGGCACTATTCTACCCCGATTCTGCTCGATCCTGTAAATCGTCTTTCGGTCTTGCGCGGCACAGTACGTTCTGCCAGAAAAATACAATAGTTTCGCCATTTTTGGTCAATTTGAAACTTACATATTTGAATAATGGTCATTTAAAAACAAAATATTTACACTAAGAACAATTTAATGCCCAAATTCTACATATAAACCGCCCGATTCTGCCCGATCCTGTAAATCGTCTTTCGGTTTTGCGCGACCAAATCAGAAAGGAGTGTTTTATGTAATACGTCTTCATTTTTCCTTAAAAACCTTTCACAATGTGTAACATATGATGATATCAATGCAAAAGAAATTCACAAAAATCATTAAAACGGCACTATTCTAGTCCGATTCTGCCCGATCCTGTAAATCGTCTAACCCTTCCAACATGACCGATACGGTGGTGGATCTGTTATGGTTTGGGGTGGCAAGGCAAGACCGACCTTCATGTGTTCCTTAATGGCAGTTTGACTGCACAGAGGTACTGTGACGAAGTCCTGGACGTGTACGTCAGGCCTTATGCTGGTGCAATAGGTCCGGAATTCATTCTTATGGACGATAATGCGCGACCACACAGAGCTCATGTGATTGAACAGTATCTGGAAAGGGAAACAATTGAGAGGATGGACTGGCCAGCCCGCTCTCCAGATTTCAATCCTATAGAACACGTGTGGGACATGCTTCAGAACGCTGTTTCGGCGAGAAACATCCAACCTAGAACGCTTCAGGAACTTCAAGCAGCTCTCGTCGCTGAATGGACAAGTATTCTCCAAAACTGGATACGAGACTTGATCAGAAGCATGCGCCGCCGCTGCCACAGCGTAATTGATGCTCGAGGACGTTATACTCGATACTAACACTGTATTTTTTGCTGAACGACACTGTTTCGTAGGACTTAATTTTTCGCCCCTTTTGTCGTAATATGCGATTTTCGGGGTATCTGTGTACAATGAGCATTGAAGCAAATTAATACTGTTATTCTTCGCTTGGTCTTGTTAAATCTTCAACTTATAATGCCGAAATATGTATAATTTTAACTGTAGAATATATTCTTAAAATAGATACCGTTACACATTAAGTAAAAAAGTGATCCCTATCAAATTGTGAGTAGTTTATAAATATATATATATATATTAATCATATATCTTCTAGCTTGATTGAAAAGCATTGATGTTTACACCTTCTACACAAAATATATACATACTGTCATTGTAAAAATATTTTTGACCAAAACCTACCTAAAATATTTAAGTCAAAAATATGATAAAATGTGATTATGTCTGTGTTCTTAAGAATTTTTCCACAAAAATATTTGACATAAAAAAAACAGTCTTCAGTTATTATCCATGAGTACATGCCAGACTGCAACATCACCTATCTGTGACAAATAGATGTTAGAATAGTGTTTTAAGGCTCTGACCATTCTGTTGTGAAGGGAAAAAAAGAATTCCTACAATTCCAGTCAGGCAAAAATTCCCT